ATCTTGTTTTTATTTTTGAGCCAAATTGTGTGCTTCTGTGTTCTGGTTTGATTCATTTAATGTAATGAAGTGTCTAAGGATGAAGTTTTCCTTTGTTTACATCCGTCTCTGCATCCATCATCATCATCATCATCATCATCATCATCATCAGCAGCAGCAGCAGCAGCAGCAGAAGCAGCAGCTGCAGCGGAGGTTGTCAAGTCTTACCGGGGTAGAAGTCTTTGGATTTGGACAGTTTGATGGTGGCTCCAGTCTCTTTCTGCAGCTGGACAATGGTCTGGCCTCCTTTCCCGATGATGGAACCCGCCGCATAGCTGGGAATCAAAACCTTCAGGAAGTACTCGCCTTCCTCTGCAGCAGGAAACAGGAAACAGGAAGTCAGAGAGAGAGCTACTGCAGCACAGGTTCTTCAAATAAAGCTGGAAGAGAAAAACATTCAGTCCTTTGCCCTCATGCCTGCCCTTTCATTTTATTCATGACAATTTGCATCAATGGCGAAAACTTTGATTAAGAGGAAAAAGGTACAGAGTCATCTGTTTGAAGACGGTGGAGTGGAAGTGGACAGATGTGAGCTGGTGCTGCATCACTACACCAAAGAACTCATCTCCCACACGCACCCCCCCTCCTCCCTCCCTGCCAACCATCCGAAATCCACCAAATCACATCAAACAGTGACTGATATCCATGACAACTAATTATTTTCATAATCTGATGATTTCACATCGGCCTTATCTCTCCGCTTTCTCTGCATGTCCATTTACGCCAGCCTCTAAACGCTCTCACCAGATTGGTCTGATCTAATTTCACCGCCGGGCCCGAGGAATCTGGTCCTCATCGCCTCGACACGAGGAGAGGGAGCCGAGGAACCCGCTGCTCCTCGGTTCTGTTATTAAAGCCAATCAGATTCAACCGACGCTTGTGGATGCGGCGCCTTGCAATGCGCAACACCACATGCACACCCTCACACACGTGCACACCATCACACACACACACACGTGCCGTAAATAACAGGTGCAGATAAGATCACAAACAAAAAGGGCACATACTCAGTCCGTTATATTCGATGGAGCGACACCTTCACTGAGAAGACGGAGTAAACTCAGGGTAAAGAGGAACATGGCGTCTGTTTAATGCCGTCATGTGTGGACTGTTGAATGTTCCGCATGATAGAATGAAGCTGTCAGGATTGGCTTTTTTGTATCAGCCTGAACATTCCTGCTCAGGTTTATGTGAAAATTGAAAAATAATCTAAATTGTGTTGGAAAAATGAGGCAACTCTGCTTTGAGTATTTTAAAAAACTCAACTGCATGGAAAAGACAGCAAGTATAATTTCAAAGGAAAAGATTTGTTGTGTTTAAATCATGAATAGAACCAAATTTGTTTACTGTCTAAATTCACCCATTTAGGATCTAAGACGACTTATAACTCCACAGAACATCTGTAATCTCTTTAGTTTTTTGTGAAATGTATATAATTCTACAGAAATAACGTGAAAGAAAGGTTCTATAGTCAACACAAGGTTTTACATTGCTCTGTCTCTGTTGCTGATTGTGTGCGTCTCGGCTTCCCTCCCTCATATCCTTCTTCACATTTGATAATCCAGGACATGTAACCTCAGGAGGCAGATTAAAATAGGATTATTATTATTACAGGGGCACAGTTTCTGACAGAGGGGAGGCACCTTGAAACACCAGTGTTCTCCGTCCGCGACACACGAACAACTGCAGACAAAGAACTGTGAAACCGCACGTGAATAAAAGTGATAAACTAACAGTATATCCTGCTGTGGACAGAACAAGTAGAACCAGATGGAAGATGTGTGATGGACAAATAGTTAAAAATTGTATTATTGAAAGACTTTAAATACTAAAAGCTATTTAAAGTCATTCACTCTCCCGTTAAATCCCCATAACACTTGTGTTGCTTCATAACAAGGAGGTGTTTTTGACACCTCTCTATAAATACATTTAAAAGTGAGCGTCTCTGTGCACCACAGTTATTCTGCTTGATCAGATGCAAACATTGAGCAGAGACGTGCTCGGAGTCTGGACACACCCACAGAAAATCTCTGTGAAAAACTCAGTAGCCTCTGAAGCTCAGTTAAAACATGAGGCCAATTCTTGTATATGACCAATTTGTGCTTCAAGATGCAAATTTTTTGTTAAGATTATGTTGTGCTGTAAAATGTTGAACCCGGGTTGTTTGACATTTGTTTGTTTGGTCACAGGAATACAAAAAAGTACTCGACCAATTCCCTCGAAATGTGGCGATAGGATAAAGTTGTGGCAAAGAAATGACATAGTTTATTTTTCCACTTTCTTTAACATGGTGAGATAGGGTGTGAGCCTTGGAGGTAAGCACTCTCAGAGCACCCTTAAAGTTTTGCGACTGTGAGACTTGTAAATATTCCCATGTTTATGACGTTCAAATCACCAGACAGCTGCAGACGTATGCAGAGTTGGTTGTGTGATGGTAAAAACCTCTGAACTGACAATGTATTTTTTTAATTACATTGAACCACAACCTTTGGCTAGCATGCTATGTCTGTTAGTTTCTTGGCGTCTTCATGTTATTAAGCAGCAATGCACTGAAATATCAGAGTTTTCAGAAAAATCCAGGTTTCCTAGTTATAATGAGGACTTTCATGTTAACATTAAGATCATTTACAAGTCAGAAACTAGTGATTAGAGTAGCTGAAGTGTGCAGGATCGCCTACAGCCCAGAGTACAGGGGTTTGGAACATGTGGAGCATTTTAATGATCTGTAAAATAAAGTTATTATTTAAAATCTTCAAACTTTTTTAAATTTTAAGCTATGAAAAGAGCTGTATCTTTTTCAAATTCTGAAAACTGATCTGATTTTTATCTTAAACCTCTCGTCTTTCGTTCCGGGTAAACCTTTGTCCTGCGTGCCGAGATAGTTCAGATCTTTCCGGGCGTTTGGTTCTGGGTGGGCTCGGCACTCATCTCTGAGTGTTCAGCCAAGTCAAAGCACAGGAAACCTGACACTCCCCTGCCCCTCCTCAGCTCAGCAAGTGATGAAATACAAACTACAGGAGCTCCAACATGGATAAAGAGGAAAGAAAAACCCACCTGCCCTCAGTTTAACCACTTTTTTATTTGTCGACTGAGATTCAACCTCCTTTGTTAAAATCTGAATTCGCTGGTGTGCGTTAGAGGACAAAGTGTAATTATGACCTGTGCTCAGCTAAAGGCTCGTTCCCTTAGAGCTGAAAGTTGGTCTGCCCCAAAAATAAAACACCTCCATGGTGATGATTTCATCTTCAGCCATCACTCCTCTCCTCTGTGACCGTACTTCTATCTATTCATCCTTCTATCATCTACTCTGCTTGATCCTCAAAACTTGGTGGAGAGATGAGTGCACTAAGAACCTTTGGAGCGAATTTGAACAAGAGGGTGAATCCAAGTTTATACTTTCATTACAACGTGTCACATTTTGGGAATTTCAATGCAGAGATATTTTTTTGAAAAATATTAGACGTGTAAATAACATGTTAATATCCCTGAACAGGTGAAAACATTTCTATGTACAAGGTATATGTGACTGATCTATAAACAATATGGTGATAACATGATTGAGGTATGTGCTCTTCAAGTGTCCAACTAGTCGAACCATCAGATCTAAACTTCCTAATATTGGTTTCCTCCAACCTTTGGCCTAATTTCAGCTCAGTGGTACCTGGAGAAAGGTTTATTTTGGTTGTGATCCCTAAGTTAGTTATTTTCTGCAGTTGATTTGTTGAGCGTCCTGCAAACCTAGGTGTTTTGAATGTGATGTATTTTGGAGCATGGCCCTGCAGGAGCTTTACATCAAACTTCAGCTGCACTGTAGCTCGTCACCGCCCTTTTTTAATTGTTTCTCTCTATTTTAAAACAATTATTCTCATTAAAACTCTGAATCTATCTTTATATCTTTATTTTAGTAACACCAACCTTTTCTCGAGAACCTCTGGTGAGCTGGATATTATTATTGTTGTCCCTATTTGCTATTTTTGTCATTTATTTACTGTCGGTTACAAATAAAAACAACAGGTACATTATGTTTAATGAGTTCTCGCTCCCTCTCACAGAAGCACCTTGTTTGTGAGCTTGAAATCACATCTCATGGTCGTGGCCTGAAACTGTCTGTCTTCTCCTCATCACCTCTCTTTCCTCTCCCCTCCTTCCCTCCTTAATTCCTTTCCTCTCCTCTTCTTTCCTCTCTGTGCTGCAGTGACCCACTTTAAGTACGGAGCCTTGGACTGACCTGCTTTCGATGGAGGCTAGCTAATTATAACCAGCACGTATTAATAAGGCAGGGGAATTGGTAAATACAACACACACACAGACATATGCACACACACAAATACAAAAGCTGCACAAAACAGACTCACTAACACCTCCTCCACAAACAGACCATTTTCTACGTCTCATAAACAAGCCTACACACCTTGGCAACGTGACTCATCACGAACTTGAGAGGATGTAATGAGTGACTCATGTTCATCACTTGTATCTGTTGCATGGTAACACTTGCATGGGTCAAAATGTGTTTATATATCATGATTTTAACCTGCGACACATCCACACTCGAGTCTGACACGGTGGAAACATTCGGCAGTCGTAGAATTAAGGTTTGAAATCAAATTAAAAACAAATTCAATACAAATGTTCATTAAACTTACAGCCTGTCCAAAAACAAACCTAAAAACAGCTCTTGTACATTTCATTACGTTTTGCTGATCAGTTATTTCCCATTAAGGAACTATTTTGTGCACATGGTGCTGTACATCCATAACATCGGTTTTACAAATGAGGAAGCCGTTAAAGTACAAACTCAATGCAAATGTTCAAGCACAACAAGCCTGTGAGTCCTCAAACAGCAGCTCGTCTGTGTCATTAAACAGAGCTGCAGAGCTGCAGTGCTCAGTTTCTTCACAGGGTTATGTAATGCAGAGTGAATTACACTTTGGAAATAAAGCTTTTAGCAGGTTTCAAAACTGCCATGACTCAATTTTCATAAATATGCACCAACTTTATTTATATATATATAAAAAAAGCATAAAATGTGTGCTGCACTCGAGCCTCGTCCTCCCACACTGCTTCATCCTGAACGAGTCTGTTTACACAGGAGTTTTATCAACATTCCTCATGCAGGTTTTATCAAAACTATCAGAGGTCTTTAGACACATGAGGCAAGAAAGTTGGAAAAAGCAAAAGCTTTTGATTTATGAGAGTCTAAAGAGAAACAAAAAAAAAATAGATTACAATATAAACATTTAAAACAAATCCCAGTTTGGTTTTTAATATAGTATAACAATATTTGGCGGTTTATAGAGTCATGCTCATAC